GTTTAATCCAGGAGCAAAGAGAAATAATTTCTACTTTAAAAGTACGGATAGATCGCGATTGCACAGTCTGCGTGCGCACAAGCAATATCGGACTGAGGACAGGCAGTTCATTTGTATAAGTTAGGCCTATTTGAGAGCTCGCGTTCAGTTTTCTGCGATTACATGACTGTGTTCTCATGTTACAATAAAGCGCTCGCCACATTTGCGCGGGAATGATTAAAATTATGCGGAATACCTGCAATCCCGCGCAGACATTCAGACTCTGTAATCGACAGGAGGCGGATGCATGTCAAACTCGCTGTCGGAGAGGAAAGAGACACGCAGCTTGGAAAAGCGGCGGCTTTTCCCGGTTCAGATATCAGGGCTTTTATTGGTCCGTTTACGCTCCACCACTGTTGAGGCTGATTGGACTATAGATCCAGAGGCAGAACAAACAGTGACAGCTAGCGTAACACCCTGGTTGAATGTGATAGAAAAAAAATAACCTCACTTTCGCACTTGGGTGGTGCGCCACCCTATCGTCCTAATGAAGAAACTGCCCCTGTGAAATGTTTTGGCATAGTGACAGACATAGTGTGTAGAAAAGCAGTTCATCAAATTCATGGCTACTGCACAATGAAAAAGAGGAAGTTCCATTTTTAAGACAAACAGTAACTTCTCAGGATTGATTTAAAGATTTGAGTGAAAGATAATTTTCTGAATTTTGAATCAGACTGTTATAAATCACACCTGATTAAATCTACAGCTTCAAGAGCTCCTCCAATAATCAGTATACTCATCGCTTTAGGCATTTTTCTCCTTTACAAAGGCAAAGGGTTGCACATTTCCCAGTTCTGCACTGAAAATTGTTCCTGCTCAGGCTCTAGTGCTGATTTTTTTTCTTGCTTTTCTTGTTTGTCTTTCTGCAGGGTTTCCTCAAAAGGGGATTAATTCGGACATTCTTGGTGAGCTTTTCATTTGTCAAACCTATTCCTGGGTCATCAGAGGCCTTTGTTTCATTACCCATGATGTATTATGAAATGTGATGCTCTGAAAAAGTTGACACAAAAAGGACTGGGAGTTCATTTATTTTCTTGCACTGTAATTATAACCACACACTCATTATATGCAAAAGTAAACAAGGAAAATATGCTTTATACATCCAAAATGACACTGAATTTCTTTTGTATTCCTTTCTAATGGCTTAACTGGAACATTTCTATAAATTCACTTTTAGTTTTGGTTTTTATTCCCATGTAGACTGACAGCAATAGTTAAACTATCGCAAGAAAGCATGCATTCTTGATGATTATTACAGCTGCTCATCCAGATTTGTTTAGGTCTATTTTCTGAAAGTGTTTGAACTACAGAGGGAGCTGTTTGGAAACTTTTAAAATGACTCCTAAAACACATTTTCTTGATAAATGTATATTAGATCTTCATTTTCACATATCAAAACACCCAGTCCCTGGAAAAGAAATCATTATCATTGACAACATTTGCGTTTACGGTTGTGATTCCACCAGTTCGCTAGAGCTTACGCGCAAGTAAGCACTAACTTTGCATTGTGAACAATGACAAGCACACATATGACTATGGTCATTGTACAGAAATGCAAGTCTAAAAAACAAAATAACAATTCAGAAAATCCCAAACCAATGGTGTTGTCTCAAACTATACCTACCTCTTCCGGTTTGTCTGATTTGTCGTTGTGTTTTCTGACTTGTTAATTTGTTTTCGAATTTGTCATTGTGTTTTCTGACTTGTTATAATGTTGTCTGAATTGTTGTTGTGCTTTCTATTTTGTTTTTTAGACTTGCATTTGCGTTTGTAATTCGTTATTTTGTTTTCAGAATTGTGATTTGTTTTGCACTTCTCGGCCACCGTATCATTGCTTTCTATGTTTGCTTTGCAAGGTCTTGCCAGTAAATATATTTGTATGTTTTCTGTGTTCAACTTGACCAATGTTCTCAATAGTACAAACAGAAAGTTTGAAGTAGCCTAGTTTTAAAAGCTTGAAGTTTGAAGGTTTTCAGTTTGAAATAGTTAAGTTTTAATTTAGTAGTTTTAAAAGTTAAAAACCAGGTTAAACCAGCTGATTAAGCAAAAAAATAAAAAACAGCTAAAACCACTTAAAGTCCACCTGATTTATTAAAAACAGCAAAATAAAAGACAGCTAAAGCCAGCTGATTTAGCAAAAAACAGCTAAAAACCAGTCAAAACAAGCCGATTTAGCAAAAAAACAGTGAAAAACCAGGTAAAACCAGCTGATTTGGAAAAAAAGCAGCTAAAACCAGGTAAAAGCAGCTGATAGATAGATAGATAGATAGATAAGGTTGAATGGAAGCTTGAATGAGTTTGAATGGCTTAGAAATATTACATAGAAGGGAAGCTTGATTGAGTCTACACCGTGTCTACACCGGACGTGCCGCAACAGCTAAAGTCTGTCTATACTGGACACGACAAAGCGACCGTTGAAAATCGTTTGAAATTTGTGTCAACACGTCATAAATAGAACGCAGCAGCAGTTTACTGTCGGGGATTTGTTGTGTCGTGCCGCGCCGCATCCAGTGTAGACAGCATCACTGATTATAATGAGTTCTATAGTATTTTGTCGTGCCGCTCGCGTCCAGTGTAGACACGGTGTAATGGGCTTCAGTGTGTTTACATTTGAATGTTGGAGTTTGAATAGTCTTGGCTCATCTGAACATTCCGTCAATGTAAGTCTATGGGATTTTTATGATTTTTAATCTTCATTTTTAGGAAAACCGAGAGGTCTCAACTGTCAGTTTGATTTACTGTGGACAAACAGAACGTATAGGGGTCAGGTAGGTTTGGAACGACATAAGGGTGAGTAAATTATGACATAATTTTCATTTTTGGTGAAAGATCTCTTTCGCCACCAAGTCTCGGTAATGAATGATCTAAGAATGTAATTTGAGTTCTTAATAGCAAGCCTGTGTGTGTGCAGCTTCAAGGGAGCTAATAGAGTGAATCTTGTACTCCATTTACATTGTTTCGTTTATTGTTTCATATTCTCTTCATTTCAAAGTTTCAAGTAATACACATTCATTGACTCTTAGGTCTGAACTTTTGCTCTGATGCTTTTCAGCACAGCATTCTCAAATACGAGAAAAGAGATAAGGGTCTAAATTCTCAGAGGTCTGTGGTATTAAATGCACTTCCTGTTTATATGCAGTATATGTCTCTGGTTTGCATTAGAGTTCAGTCAGTCAGTCATTCAGTCCGTCAAGGCACATTAGTCACACTCTAAAAAATAAGGTAGGCTGGTTTCTTTTTAATACTTTATGTAATAATTATTAAGATCATGATAAAATAAATGGAAAGTTTTCCTGATAATAAGCATATGTTAATATTTCTATCTAAAATAGTTTTTTTAATGAGTAAATGTGATGAATGAGAAAATTCTAAATAAACATAACAGTTCTTTCATATATTTAAACACATCATCTGTTAATATCATACATTTGGGTAAAGTTAATTTCCATTACATTTATATCATGTTTTTTTTTATTTTTTTATTAAGAGTGCAGAACATACAACATACGGTGAACACAAAACAGCAATAGAACAGCAATGATAATAACAGCAATGAAAATAAACAGTGATGACCATCTGACAATAATAGTAGTAGTATTCAAGTAGTACTAGCACGCATAATAGTAATACTAAAGATGGTGATGATAATAATACCTTGTGATGACGGCAACAGTAATATCAATAATAATAAAAGTAATGATAATAATAATAATAATGTAATAACAATCGTAATAATAATAATGTAATAATGACACATACCACACCTATTCTAGCTTCTGTGTCAATGTTTTTTTTCTTTTTTTTTTTTTTCTTTCCAATTCACGGTAAGATTACTATATGTATATGTATGTATGCCTAAGCTGATGTGGTGCATTAAAAGAAGCATGTGGTGCATTAAAATCAGCATGAGGTGCATTAAAAACATGTGTGGTATGTGTTGGGTGCAGATTTGATTTAGTTATATTTATATATTTTAGGTATATATATTTAGTGTTATGATCTTCATTAAACCATTACCGTCTTTATATAAAATATCATCCCATCAACATCATCTTCACTTCATTTTACCGCAGATTCGTTTACAAAAAAGGCACAATTCGACGCAGGATTTTCAGAGAGATTGAAACTAAAAGACGATGCTGTGCAACTATATTGGATCCGACAGTAAAGTGCGAGTAACTTTTTATTACGTGGTCACTATTGCTTTGTCTGTTATTACAGATCACTTGATATAGTGAGTATTTATGCGTTTTTAACGGAAATCAAAGAGTTGAATGAGGTCTGATCTGGAGTGTTGTGGTTCCGTAATTTCCGTAAATGGGCAGAAAAGGGCATCACACATATTAATCACATTTTTCAGTCTAACAACCTGGTTTCATTTTCCTACTTAGCCCAGGAGTATGGTATCGGGAGCAATCAATTCTTAAACTATTAGCAACTCAAATCAGCTGTTTCATTTAAAATCAACACCAGAACCATCAATCTTCACCTTCCTTCTGCAGTAGCAGATTTAGTTAATATATCCTCCCCGAAAAAATTACTTTCCAAAATATACAAAATTATAACAAATTCAAATAAAATCATAACTTTACCAACAATCAAATGGGAAGAAGACCTTTCTATTGCTCCTGATACCGACTTCTGGACTCAGATTTGTAAAAATATTTATTCCATGACTAAAAACGCCAACCTTCAGCTCATACAGTATGAGACTCTTCACAGAACACACTACACTAGGGAAAGGCTGTCTAAAATGGGATTCACATCCGAAACTTGCTCGCACTGCTCACAAAAAAATTGTTCGGACACATATATCCATGCCACATGGCACTGCCCACCCATTAAACACTTTTGGAAAGACGTCACTGAATCCCTATCCCGCCTCCTGGGCTGCCCCCATTATCCCCCTTACTCTGTCTACTGGGTGATCTATCAACTCTCAATCAGGAAATAATAAACAAAAGGATACTCCTCATAGCTTTAGCCATCGCCAAGAAAACTATCTTCTTGAACTGGAAATCCCGAAACACTATTCACATAACGCATTGGAAAAATTTGCTCACAGACTATATTTCCCTAGTACATTTCTCACCTCCTTACAACTATACCTTGGAAACACAACACTCCAGATCAGACCTCATTCAACTTTTACAAATCTGACATTTATATCATGTTTGATTGCTTATTGATTATTGCAGATATTTTTTTATCTAGTGTGTGATTCATATTAGATGCATATTTATCATTCTTGGTTTAATTATTGTCTCCTTTTCTTTGCAAAGTATTATTTGCTCGCATACATATTTCTAGAGAACTGAAAATAATAACGGAATAAAAAAAAAAAAATCACACTTGATCTCCCAAGCGAGGCCCATATCTATCTTTAACTTGCCTTTTTTTCCATTTGCCTACCATGCTTGTGTCCTAGTGAGCATATGCAGATGCTGAGCTTAGAATGGTGTTAAACTTGTACATGTCTGACTTATTAGATCTCATTGGTATTATCTGTATTCGCTTCAAGTCATCACTGATTACTGTTATTATTATTCTTATATCAACAAATATCACTGGCCAACATCCTTTATTATCTGCTGATTCCACTTGCATCAGTATGATCAATAAATGATCATTTTTCGGTTCCAATTTTTATCTCCAGAGAACCAGTGTTATTTTAGTATCATTGAGATACTATTATAGTTTTGATTAATATTTTGAATTAGTTTTAAATACAATTTCCATTCAATTTCCACAATTTTAAAGTTATAGTGATTTTTGTTGTGTTTTTGTCATTTATGAATGTCAAAATATGTATATATATAGTTTTTATGACGTTTTATGAGTTTTTTAAATAGTTTGTTCAACTAAATGCAAATGAGAAATGTCATATAGCACCTAGCTGAAATAAGTTAAATATAAAAAGTGTGTGTATGTATATATGTGTATATATATATATATAATATACAGGTGCATCTCAATAAATTAGAATGTCGTGGAAAAGTTAATTTATTTC